AGGCGGCGGGGTTGAGAACGGCGCGGCCGGCGGATCCGACGAAGGAGCGGCAAGCACATGTGACGACCCCGGGCTTCGTCCACGGTGAAAGCCGATCCGGCGATCCACAGCACTAAGTTGATGTATTCCCTCAGCGACCGGCACGGATCAGCTCTAGGCATGACGAAGCGGATATCGTCCTCTTTTGGAAGACCAAACAAAGTAGTTTCGCTTTCACAACGAAAAACACAGCGGCCTAGCGGAAGCCCCGGCTTAGCATGAGCTGAGGCCGGGCTAGAGTGAGCTGAGGCCGGGCGAGAGAGAGCAGAGGCGGCGGGGTTGAGAACGGCGCAGCCGGCGGATCCGACGAAAGCAAGCACATGTGACGACCCCGTGTTCCGTCCACGGTGAAAGCCGATCCGGCGATCCACAGCACTAAGTTGATGTATTCCCTCAACGACCAGCACGGATCAGCTCCAGGCGTGTATTAAATGCCGCTCCATCTGAAAGCATGTGATGGAGATTACTCTTCACAGAACCGGCTTTACTGACAAGATGCGAATGACAATCACATGCGATTTATCGTGCAGCCCTAAGTTTGTTTGTTGATCACAAAGTACAAAATAGATGTGGAAAACTAGGATGCCGGGTGTATTCAAAGTGCCGCCATTACTGTCTAAAGTGTGTGGAATGGTGCGCTGTGAATTGGTTGAGCGGATATATCGCATTCTGCAGAGAAGGGAGAAAACATGACAGAATAACTCGGCGGATATCGCATTTTGCGTAAAATAAAAAATTTACTTTTCAATACCGACCAGAAACAATACCGATTTTGGCGGAAACTCAAATTTTTTTTTAAATGGCGTTTATCGCGTTTTGGAACCAAACTCTTCATATATCCAATAGTTTGTGCAGAGAAGAAGCTAAAGCGCGCTTTGCAGGACATGGAGGCGCCAGCGCAATCACTTTTTTTCAGTGGATAGGCCTACGCCGTCATTTTTACTCATAAAGTTAAGAGTAATGCATCATTCGTAACTGTAAAGGGTCTACTTTTATTTGTGTGCACTCACAATATCAACAAAATGTTGTGCTTTTATAAAATAAAGAAAACAAACATGATGCGCTTTCTGCCATCTCGTCTTGAACAGGAGCGCTTCACAAAAATAAATCGAAACTCATCGAATACATGCCTCATAGACATGATAAATATATCTATAGAAAGCTTTAAATTCTATGGTAATTAAACAATGTTTACATATGAATAAAAACATACATTAAAATCTGTCATATAAATTGGTCTCTTCATTAAAAATTTTCCTACTGATTGCCACCATTGATCGACAAAAAAATGAATAATATAAAAAATATCTGTATGACAGTATATTCTGCAGTTCTTCCCTGCTGTACCGAATATCTATACTATTCAAAGTATCATATCGAAGTTAGAAATGTAAGTAATGTGACAAAATTCATTTTGTAGGGTGCCACAAATTTGTTACAATTTCCAAACTACCCCTTACTGTAAAATAAAAAATACACAGAGTGAGCAAAAATTTGAGAGATATCTATGGTAATTAAACAATGTTTACATATGAATAAAAACATACATTAAAATCTGTCATATAAATTGGTCTCTTCATTAAAAATTTTCCTACTGATTGCCACCATTGATGGACAAAAAAATGAATAATATAAAAAATATCTGTATGACAGTATATTCTGCAGTTCTTCCCTGCTGTACCGAATATCTATACTATTCAAAGTATCATATCGAAGTTAGAAATGTAAGTAATGTGACAAAATTCATTTTGTAGGGTGCCACAAATTTGTTACAATTTCCAAACTACCCCTTTAATGACAATCGGTAGCATGTTCAGTACTGTCACTTTAAGACCTACACACATCTGTTTTTCTCTCAGCTGTTTACCTTCACTTTTTTTAGTCGCGGCTAGACTTGTGCCGGTTTTCGGTAATGCGATATATCACGGTAATGAATATGCACGATATTGTTATCCTGGGCTCTTCTAAATACTGTGAATAATTTATATATTACAAGTTATTCAGAATTTTGAATGCATTTTAAGAATACTTTTCCCATCAACTGGTCAAAATGCACTACACAGCTGTATGCTGTATTGGAAACGTTTTCCTCGTCGAAGCAGAGACCAGGAGACGTTGGGATATCTTTCATACAGAAGTCACTCTTTATTGAGGACTCGCTGTGCGTCGCTGCAGTCATCCAAGTCTGACTAACGTAGTGATACATTGTAGATTATATAAATTTTAAAGGGGGCGGGATACATTCCCGTAGAGGTGGAGACAATCTAACCCATAGCATGCAAATGAAGTACAGGAATCAGCCCGACATAGGCATTTTCCCAGCCTTGATCTCATCAGTATAACAGTGTCATTCAATGCATAGGTGCTGATCCAATCAGTCTGACAGTATCGCCATACTTTCGCATTATCACAGAGACAAAGGTACAGCTGTGCTTTGACTTAAAAAGCCAGATGGTCAGGAAGATTCCACAGTAGTTGCATTTGCCTTCTCTTTTAGGCCATCTATTGTCTTGATTCGTTGTGCTAAACGTAGCAGCTGCTACTCTCACTTTTGCCTTAACATCAGCATCTCTTTCCCATGTAGCTAACCTGTCTAGGTTACTTCTGAGAGTTCTATTAGACCAAGTTAGATCTAGGAATGGCAAGGCTTTTCTGTACTTGGCTACAAGGCCATCTGACCAGATGCGGACTAGGGGTCCCTTGTCATCTAGCACACTTTCAGGATCATCCACTATTCCACTGTAAGTTACAGCTAACTGACAAAACCTTTCAGTGTATTCACTCACAGTTTCTTCTTTCCTTTGCACACAGTTAGTGATTCTGGACCAGTCTATTTTGGGTCCCATGATATTCTTTAGAATTTTCAAAACACCTTCTCTCAAATCGCCTTTACTGGCATGTTGTAGTTCAGAAGTAACAGCAGACTCAAAACTGTTGAATTCAGATTCAGTTAGAATTTGTGACCCATAGCATGCAAATGAAGTACAGGAATCAGCCCGACATAGGCATTTTCCCAGCCTTGATCTCATCAGTATAACAGTGTCATTCAATGCATAGGTGCTGATCCAATCAGTCTGACAGTATCGCCATACTTTTCATACAGTATCGCCATATTATCACAGAGACAAAGGTACAGCTGTGCTTTGAGCTTAAAACGCCAGATGGTCAGGAAGAGCATAAAGACAAAAGGTCATTATCTCAGACACCTGGGCTTCTTGATTTGATCTCCTTAGAAATGTCATCCTTTTTTTTTTACCTCAAAATGTAAAACACAAGGTACATAACTTTTTCAGTATATATTCTATTACATTGGAACCTAGATTTAACATTTTATAAATTTGTAATACAACACCGGCATATCCCTAGTCGCGGCGGCACGACTGAACACAAAAGAAGATATTTTGAAGAATGTGGGCAGCCAAACAGTTGCTGGTCCCTACTGACTTTGATAGTAGGAAAAAAAAATATGGAAGTCATTGGGGACCAGCAACTGTTTGGTTAGCCACATTCTTCAAAATAGATTTTATGTTCGTCAGAAGAAAGAAACTCATTCAGGTTTAAACAACTTGAGAGTGAGTAAATGATGACACAATTTAAATTTTTGGGTGAACTATTCTTTTAATGTTAATGAAATAAAACACAGAGATTTGAATATATATATATATATAAGTACCGGTATCGATAAGCGGTATCGGTATCAGTATCGATACAATGTAAACGATGCCCATCCCTATCAATGAGGCATTTTCTTCCAGAAAAATTTATTTGGTAAACAATTGTGGAGTTGAATTAATATATTTAATAGTTCTCACTATAAAAACATGGGATTTGTGCCTGGAATGTTAAAAACATAACTGGAAGATCAATGTACCTCATTCATGGAAAGTTTCAGAGACATTAAAACGTATAAAAATGCATCAACATGATGAATTTTTTGTATAGTTATTGTCAACTTTCCACTGTTACATTAGGGTTCACTTTTATGTCCTTTTTTTTCACATTTCTCTCTGTGATTTCCTGAAAATAAATGTTTTTACTTTCATTTCAGAGTTGATTGAAGAAAACGAGGGGAATGAAGAACTGAATGAAGAGGAGAAACATCATGGCAAAACTGGAGAAAAACCCTTGAGTCGCTCTCAAACCAAACAGAAAGATTTAAAGAAAAGAAGAGACAAGAAATCTTTCACCTGCACTCAGTGTGGAAAGAGTTTGAAATGCAATAAAAGTCTCAAAGTTCACATGAGGATCCACACTGGAGAGAAACCATACACTTGTGATCAGTGCGGGAAGAGTTTCACACAATCATCAAAACGTAAGGAGCACATGAACATCCACACCAGAGAGAAGCTGTATGAATGTGATCAGTGCGGAAAAACATTTTTGTGGGCTTTAAGCCTGAAGTATCACCTGACAGTTCATACGAAGGAGAAACCACATTCATGTCCTTTGTGTGGAAAGTGTTTTTCACTGCTGCAAAGTTTAAAAGTACATCAGAAGAGACATACTGGTGTGAGAGAATATATGTGCTTTGAGTGTGAGGAGACTTTTATTAGAGCTGATCAACTGAAACTGCACCAGATGATCCACACTGGAGAGAAACCTTACATGTGTTCACACTGCGACAAGAGATTCAGTCTGTCAGGAGACCTGAAAAAGCATGAGAGGATCCACACTGGAGAGAAACCTTGCATGTGTTCACACTGCGACAAGAGATTCAGTCTGTCAGGAGACCTGAAAAAGCATGAGAGGATCCACACTGGAGAGAAACCTTGCATGTGTTCACACTGCGACAAGAGATTCAGTCAGTTAGGAGACCTGAAAAAACATGAGAGAATCCACACTGGAGAGAAACCTTACATGTGTTCACACTGTGACAAGAGATTCAGTCGGTCAGAAAACCTGAAAGCACATGAGAGGGTCCACACTGGAGAGAAACCTTACAAGTGTTCACACTGCGACAAGAGATTCAGTCGGTCAGATACCCTGAAAAGACATGAGAGGATCCACACTGGAGAGAAACCGTATCACTGCACTGCATGTGGGAAGAGTTTCAGTTGTTCATCTGCTTTACAAAAACATACAAAAAACATTCACAGTAAGTAGATCATCTTCAGATCCAGCACTTTCAGCTCCGACACTGTGTCCTCACAAAATGTGACACAATAATGCCAGTGTTGTAGCAAGTCAGCCCTGGGCCCATATGTAAAAAAAAATTGTATTGGTTAATGTGTGCTCCAACTTGGTTAATTGAACTTATTCTTGTTTTTTCTGAGGTAAATAACATTACGTGACTATTCACATGCTGTTTGATTGACGTATAAATGCTTGGAAATAATATTTAACGTTTTCAAGTCATTATTTGTAGTCCGCCAGCCACCCGATAATTGTGATAAGCTTCGTGCTTTGCTGCTTTTAATGTAACACAAAGTGTCATCCTTTAAGTTCTGTCGATATTACCATGAAATATTTTATTTAGCCACGGCGATGCAGCATTTGCACGTAGAGCTTCAAAGAACCAAATAATCCAAGATCAAGCGAAATCAGCAACAATCAAATCCAGCTAACTGAGTTAGCGACGTACAAAGAATGGACCCCAGAGCATGAGAAATTCATTAAAATTGGCTTGTTTCGAAGAATATTTAGTTGTCTATGTATACCACGTTTTGTGAAGTTTGGACTTTGTATTCACAAGATATTAGCCAATTAGTCATTATGGGACACCTCCAGAAACATGCAAATTGGATGTACGGCCTAGGAGGAGTTTTAAAAGAAAATAAATACATAAAATAGGGTATAAGTTGGGAGTGGGACTTTCTGCAGGAACATCTAACCATCTATCCTATATTTTATCTATCCTATAGTTGGCATTTGTAGAAGTTGTTTTAATATTATGAATGTCAGATGTATTTTAAAAGCCTTATGGCTTATCTGACTGAGATTGTGTATGGAGGCTGCAAGAATGAGTAATGTGTTCACTGTCTGCAAAGATTATTAAAACCTTGGCAGCTCATATGTAATGCATATGCCTCTAGGACCTCTGGGCAGTTGAAGAGGGTTAAATAAAAAAGTCTTTAATCTTTAAAACATCTTGTCTTGTTTTGACTTCTGGAACTCTGAGCATCTGAACATTATTCCTGCAAGACTAAGAAGACTTTACTCCACTACACCAGTGAAGTCTGATTTTGGCTTCTGGAAAAAGAGAGAAGATTTCCAGAAGTCAGTAAAGAGAGAGAACGGTCTCATTTGTTTGTACTTTTACTCACTTTTTTAGTTGCTTCACAAAGAATTAAAAACTTGTTAATAATTCTATGAACAGGTTTTATTATCTCTTTTTATTTTCTGCTGATTCTGTTTGCATCAAGAATAAACGATTCCATATTTTTCGTGACATCTGAAAGCCACAAACTCTTAGGCTATAATTGAACTTTTCGGCTTTCAAGTAATTTTGTGAAACAACACAGTTATAGAAAAGTAAAAGTTAAAACTTCAGTCTCCTCCTCAAGGTGTCCTTATCTGCTTTACTCAGAGGAACTGGGGAAATCACAGCTGTCAATTAGATGTCAGACCCAGTATTTATAGCATGAAATAAATTAATGCTATAATGAGGGGTCTGAAAGGAGCTTTCATGGGGGAAGTCGTGGCCTAATGGAGAGTCGGACTCGTAACCCAAAGGTTGTGGGTTCGAGTCTCGTACCGGCAGGGATTGTAGGTGGGGGGAGTGAATGTACAGCGCTCTCTCCCACCTTCAATACCACGACTGAGGTGCCCTTGAGCAAGGCACCGAACCCCCAACTGCTCCCCGGGCGCCGCAGCAAAAAATGGCTGCCCACTGCTCCGGGTGTGTGTTCACGGTGTGTGTGTGTGTGTGTGTGTTCACTGCTGTGTGTGTGCACTTTGGATGGGTTAAATGCAGAGCACTAATTCCTAGTATGGGTTACCATACTTGGCCACATGTCACTTCACTCACTCACTAAATAATTAAAACAAATTATATATTTTTTTTAAAACGAGCACTTCAACATACATCAGCGTGATAGGATTCGGAACTACCTAAATGACACAAACCATCTTTAGGAAACCTTTGTTTGAAGTGAAGTTTTTTTTTTTTTTTTGTCAAGCTCCATTCGTTTAAATGCAGAGGGCGGGGTTTATGAGCTAAACTGTGCTGAGCTAAACAAATTACGCAATGATTTGACTTCACTTCTCAGGACATGTGCAGCACACTCGCGCTGAACAAAGTAAAGTCTGATTTTAGGCACCTGGAACTTCTTTACTCAAGAGTTTTTTTGTTTGAAAATGAGATGAGAGCAGCATCAAGCATAAAAAGCTGCCAAAGCTTTCAGACGCGGAGTCTTCTGAGGTGAGTTGAGCTGTTCACGGCATTTCGCGCATTTAAACAAGTATAAAATACCAGTGGTGTACCTTAAAAGCAACATTTAAGTAAAAGTGTAGATATCTTAACAGAAAATGACTTCTGTAGAAGTTGAAGTCACCGTTTAGAGTTTACTTGAGTAAAAGTTTTACAGTATGTGATAATTATTGTAATATTTTTTTATATTAAACATACTTGAGAATTAAAAGTACAAGTAAATGCAAAATGGAAAAAGGAGTAAATAAATATATAAAAATGGTTATTCACAGTTTGAGTAGCAAGATTGTGTTCAGTTTTAACTCGTTCTTCAATTTTGTATCTTTGGGTATGCATACAAGGCGATTCATCTGGTACTTTCTTTCATTTCAACATAAGAAAACATTTCTGGAATCTGAATTTGAAGTGGCATGCATGTACACAGTATAATGTAGCTTAGAGGGGATATTAACCTGCCGTTACAAATGCATAAATAATGCTTTGTTTTAAACTTAAAACGTTGAATACTGATATTTGAAATGATTTAAAACATGAAAAATTCCCCTAACAGGGAACATTCCCACAAGCCTTGCTGCCAAAACATCCATGACCTGTTGAGGCATGGACTCTACTAGACCCCTGAAGGTCTGCTGTGGTATTTGGCACCAAGATGTTAGCAGAAGATCCTTTAAGTCCTGTAAGTTGAGGTCGGGCCTCCATGGATCGGACTTGTTTGTTTAGCACATCCCACAGATGCTCGATTGGATTGAGATCTGGGGAATTTGGAGGCCAAGTCAACACCCCAAACACGTTGTTGTGCTCTTCAAACCATTCCTGAACAATTTTTGCTTTTTGCCAGGGTGCATTATCCTGCTGAAAGAGGCCACAGCCACCAGGGAATACCATTTACATGAAAAGGTGTACATGGTCTGCAACAATGCTTGAGTAGGTGGTATGTGTCAAAGCGGCATGCAGTTCATGGTGTGTGTGTGTGTGTGTTCACTGGTCATCGCTGTGTGTGCACACTTGGATTGGATAAATTGGCTAAATGTCACATCGCTTTCACTTTAGGTGCTTCCCAAATCGCATACTTATGAACTATTCTATGACGTTTTGTAGTATAAATAGTGTGAGTAGTGTGTTCACACTGAAAATTCCAAAAGGAAAAGGTGTTTTCTTTTCGAAAAAATGAAGAGTGGAATGTTGGACACTTCATGCACTCAACTGTCGCAGCTTTAATTACGTCGCGGGGCTATCAGACTCTGATTATAAATGACAAAATAATCATATAATTCATACACTGACTACATGGTTGAATACATAGTGTGTAAGTACATAGTATATAAGTGCATAGTGCGTCATTTGGGATGCATTCTTTCACTTTTTTATTAGCCAGCAGTTCAAATTACAAATAGAAATAGTTGTGTGTCATTAACACTGTAGCTCTAAAAGTTCTCTAAATATTTGTCAGGGGTGTATGCAGTTAATACTTCATGACATTGTCTGACACAAACTCAGTAAGTGATTTATTGTTTGTTTTGGCAGATCTGCTACAACCACACAGAATTATTCAGTGAAGCTCCTCCCACAACAATTGCACCTCCAGTGAAGCTCCTCTCACTGCAGTTCAGCCAAATCAGCCTACAAGATGAGCATCAAAGCATCAGGAAGAAGTGAAATCTGCAGAGACAGAGTTTATTGAAGGAGAGTGAGAACATGAGAGATCCAGAACCCTGCAGAATGAAACACACTGAAGAACAAACAGGTTGGTGTTTATTCTTCATCCTTCATCAGTGAAGCTGAAGAACAATAAGAATATAACGCTTCCAGTAGTTTTAATTTCATTCACAGTGCTAATTCAAAGTGCTTTACGTATGAAAAGTTAAAATATTCATTTAAAAAAAATGAATGAATTAAAACAGTTAAGAATAAAATACAGTTCTCTCAGTTTGGACGTAGCACAGTACTCATTCAGTAAATGCACAGCTAAACAGATGTATTTTGGGTCTAGATTTAAATGTGGATAAGGTTTTAGCACATCTGATCTCTTCTGGAAGCTGGTTTCAGCTGCGGGTGGCATAATAGCTAAAAGCGAAACGTGAACCCTTGGTATTTCTAACTGACTCTGAGTGGTCGGTTAGGCTTATATTCAGTGAGCATATCTGCAAGGTAGTGAGGCCCTAGGCCATTAAATGATTTATAAACAAGTAATAATACTTTAAAATCAATCCTGAATGTAACTGGAAGCCAAAGAACCGAGGACTGGTGTGATATGCTCAATTGTTCTGGATCTAGTCAGCAGCATTTGGTATGAACTGCAGCTGTCTAATGGTCTTTTTGGGAAGGCCTTTTTGAGAAAGGAGTGCATTACAGTAGTCCACCCTATTTGTGATAAAAGCATGAATGAATACCTTGACTTGACTGGAAACAAAACATCTAATTCTTGCAATGTTTTTGAGATGATTTAGTTATTGCTTTGACATGACTACTGAAACTAAGACCTGACTGCAGAATCACACCAAGATTTCTGATCTGATTTTTTTGTTTGTTTAACCCCTAGAGCCAAGGTATGCATTCACCTTGAGAACTTCATATTTTTTTTCAAATGCAATGACTTAAATTTTCTCTCTGTTTAACTGAAGAGAGTTTTGGCGGATCCAGCTGTTAATTTCTTCATTACCTTGGTAGAGGGAGTCAATGGGGCTGTAGTCATTTGGCCATAAGATTAGGTAAACCTGGATATCATCTACATATCTGTGATAGGCAAATTGGTTCCTTCTCATTATTTGCCTTTGTGGGAGCATATGAAAAGTTCAGATGCAAAAGCCTCTAAGTGCCATTTGAAATTTTCTTCTAAAATGAGCATTTTTCTCAGGCTCCTATGTGTAGGTTCAGTAATTTTCCTTTAATGGCAATGAATGGGTTCTTTTCATTGCCATTAAATTCAAATAACTGAGCATAAACATATGGGCCTCAGAAAAATGCTCATTTTAGAAGAAAATTTCAAATGGTACTTAGAGGCTTTTGCATCTGAACTCTTCATATACAGGCTGAACAAGATTGGTGCCAGAATTGAGCCTTGTGGGACTCCACATGTCATGGACGTCCACTTAGACTTATGCTCTCTCCCTTCTAAGTATGACCTGAACCATTTGAGGACCATCCTAGAAAACCTGACACAGTTTCCCAGTCTCTCTCTAGAAGTGTGTTTTGATAGACAGTGTCTGATCTAATAGTACCAGCACTGATATTTTGCCTGAATCAGAATTTAAGCGAACATAATTTATTATCTTTATGAGCACTGTCTTTGTTCTGTGATGCTGTCGGAAACCAGATTGAAAATTGAGAAGTTATTATTATTACTTTAAAGGTGACATATGTCACAAAAGGTGTACACAAAAGGCCTATTTCTCTCAAATACAGGTGCATCTCAATAAATTAGAATGTCGTGGAAAAGTTCATTTATTTCAGTAATTCAACTCAAATTGTGAAACTCGTGTATTAAATAAATTCAAAGCACACAGACTGAAGTAGTTTAAGTCTTTGGTTCTTTTAATTGTGATGATTTTGGCTCACATTTAACAACTATACATCATGCTACACCCAAATTGCATGCTATAATTTTACTAAACAAAATTTCAGACTACTTCCTTGGTATTTGAATAATGAGGTAGGTCTATTCAAGGTTTTGGCAATGATTTTAAGTCATTTATGAACCTAATTAAATACTTTGTGTACTATATGCATTAGTACATTGACTATGAATTTCCTGTTAAAATATATTGTGTTATTAGCTTCCTATTAAGCTAACGTTGTAGAGATTATTGGGCCTTTGAGCTAAAGAAATATGGGATTTGTGTCTATTATGTTTTTAAAAAATTTAAATGTTTAATAACAATTATTCTTAAGTAATAATTGGAAGAACAATGTACCTCACTCCAGAAAAGTTTAATATACATATAATTTACAAAAATGCATCAAAATTATCAGAAATTTGTATAGCAATCTACTTTCCATTGTTACATCAGGATTAATTTTTATGTCCTTTTCACATTTCTCTTTTTTTATGATTTACTGAAAATTTTATGTTTTTTATTTTCATTTCAGTGTTGATTAAAGAAAAAGAGGAGAATGGAGAACTAAATGAAGAGGAGGAGAAACATCACATCAAAGCTGTAGAAAAACCTTTAAGTTGCTCTCAGACCAAACAAAAAGATTTAAAGAAAAGAAGAGACAGGGTGAAATCTTTCACCTGCACTCAGTGTGGAAAGAGTTTGACAAGCAATACAAGTCTCAAAGTTCACATGAACATCCACACTGGAGAGAAACCGTTCACATGTGATCAGTGTGGGAATAGTTTCACAAAATCTTCAAACCTTAAGGAACACATGAACATCCACACTAGAGAGAAACTGCATGAATGTGATCAGTGTGGAAAAACATTTTTGAGGGCTTCAAACCTGAAGAATCACTTAAAAGTTCATACGAAAGAGAAACCACATTCTTGTTCTTTATGCGGAAAGAGATTTTCACAGCTGCATATATTAAAACTACATCAGAAGATACATACTGGTGTGAGAGATCATATGTGCTTTGAGTGTGAGAAGACTTTTATTACAGCTGATCAATTGAAAGTGCACCAGAGGATACACACTGGAGAGAAACCTTACAAGTGTTCACACTGTGACAAGACATTCAGTCAGTTAGGATCCTTGAAAAAACATGAGAGGATCCACACTGGAGAGAAACCATATCACTGCACTGCATGCGGGAAGAGTTTCA